TATGATAGTATTTACATTTATTACATCAACTATTTCTGCATTTTTTACTTGTAAGCTTCTTTCGATTTCCTTCCATTTGTATTTTTGGTATAAATTACTATAGGGCGTGGGATCTTTCATAAATATATTATCGGGTACCTTACCAAGTTCTATTTTCAAACCTCTCCTTAAATTATCGTCTTTTTTAATATTATTAAACAACTTCACTTCCATATCGGTTATTATTTTTCTATCTATACCATAGTAGTGTACAAAAACATCTTCCTTGTTTGAGGCCGTGTTTACAAAGATCTGTACTTTAGTATTACACAAAACAAACTCATAAGCTATTATAACAATGCAAACACGAAACATTTTTGTTCAGAAATACTATTTCAATAAAAATAAATTTATTGCCAATAGCTAGGTAGGTACTCATAATTGATTTGTAGTAGACTGTCGTCATTATAGGATAGTATGAATAAATCTATACATATAAATAACATTTATGTGTCTGTATGTAAAATCTAAACTAGCTGCTGTTCACTGCTGCTCACGGGGTTTTTGTGTATTTTTGAAACATGAATAACTTGAAACATTTTGTCTGTCTGTATGTTTGTTCGGGCTAATCCGCGGATAACTAAACCGGTTGTGATGAAATTTCACGAACGGATAGAGAGCAACGCCATCTGGGCTATATTTTATCCGAAAACTATGCAAGATTTATTTTGTGTAATCGTAAAACATAAAATGAATGGGTTTTGATGATTATCTCAAACATTTTAAGAAATATGAAAATAGTTTCGAACAAAACTTTTATGGTTTACAATTTTACTCAAATCAAGACCATACCCTTTTCGGGAGGTAGAGCCATCACCACCAGGTGAACTGTGTGCTCGTTTGTCAGCCTATCCTATAAAAAACCCTCTCTGAAAGTTCTTAAAGTTTCAGTAGCGATTTTAATCAATTTTTTTACTTCAACGTCATTTTGTAACATAACTATGAAAGTTTAAGGTTACATTGATAGAATATTTTTACGTAGAATTAATAGATATGTTGTTTATTATTATTAGCATTTTCTCTTAACGCTCATAGTTTTCGAAATAATCACAAAAAAAAACTAAGTTTGAAATGATTTTTCGAAAGTTTTGCTAAAAAAACCACTATAATAAATCTGAAGATTTTATCGTTTAATTTCTAAGTGAAGACTGCCGCGGGTAAAAACTAGTAAAAAATAAATATTCAGATAACAATGTTATAAGAATTGTAACCTAGACCAGGTTATCGTTAAAATAAACATACATTAAAGACCAATTTATATTATTATAGTATCATTTCCTCATTTATAATGATGACGTTAAAGTTTTGAATGAGGAAATTGATTTCTGTTTAATGTTACCATATTATCGAAGGTTATAGCTTGCTTAACTTAAGTATTAATTAACTCCATATTTGTCTTTTTCTATTGCCATTTAATTTTTTTTATTTATTCAACAAAGTAACAGTTTTAATTACAAAATCAATTTCTTCGTGCCATTAAACATCTATTGTTTGTCTTGGCACTGCACAGTTTGCTCTTAATTATACATTAATTTACTTAAGCTTATTATTTAAATGACATTGGAATTAACTTTTACTTAAACTAAATATAAAGTACTATAAAACAATTGTGCTACAAATTATTAAAAAAAATTTGGCATAAAAATTTATATAAAATCTATAATATGTATCTCTTAAACAATTTTTTTTTGTGGAGAAGGTAGTTTTTGGTATTGTTTACCAGGAGTAATGAAGTAAAAACGTGATTGTTGTCTTCAGTTGTTCGCTTATCCGATATACTGCACTATCTTATGCGGGTACACACGGAGTGTATTTTTACGGAATATTTTTTTTTTCATGTATTATATTTTGTAACACGTTTTGTTTATTTGTCCAATTTAACAATTATTGGCATAGATAGATATAGCTCGTTATGATTCTCATTGGAATAATATATATAGATACTTTTTTGAATTCTTATTATGCGAAAAAATGTTTAAGTTTTGTTTTCAAGTTTTGTGCGGTTAGCTGGCTTCTTATCTCCGTAGGTAAAGAATTTAATATGTATGGTATTAGAAATTTACGTGTTCTCTTACCGTAGTAATTATTAGTTCTAATTGGCGAATAAGGTGTTTTATTTCTAGTGCTATAAATGCGTTCCCTTGGGGTTGGGTACATCGAGTATTCATAACATTCTTTTAAAATCATATATTTCACCTTTTTATGTATGGGTAAAACTTTGCAGTACGTGAAAAGGTATGAGTAATCATTTCGATATTTGTCCTTAATGTGTTGAGGCAATATAGATTTTAAAATTCTTATTTGTAAGCTGTAAATTTTATCTAGGTAAGTGCGGAAAGTTCGTCCATAACTACTAAGACCATACGATACTATCGATTCCACTAGAGCATTATATAGGCTTAGAAGAATTTTAAATGGAACTTTATTACGAATAATATAAAATTTCGCTAGGATTGCCCTTAATTTACTACACACGTAGTCAATATGATTCTTCCAGTTCATCCTATTATCTATAATCAGTCCTAAGTATGTGTGATACTTAACAAGTGGGATTTTTTCGCAGGAACAAGTTATTATATTGTGCAGACAAAGATGATTATGAGCAATAATGCTTACTGGCATAATATTCTTGATATGACTAGAATGAATGTGTAGTACCTTAGTTTTTTGTATATTTATTACAAGTCCTAAATCGTGAGCCCACATAGAGAGGCGTGAAAAATCATCTTGTAATTTTTACATGGCGATATCCTGATTTTTATCCTCTGACAGGAGGCACGTATCATCTGCATATTGGTATAAACTACATTTTTTAATGATATTTTCTAATTCATTTACGTATGTTAAGTATTGGAGTGGCCCTATAACTGAGCCTTGTGCCGTACCTGTAGTCATAGGCATTTTAATACTTAAATTATTTTCTATCTTTACTTGGAAATATCGATTGCTAACATAATCTTTACACCATCTTAAGAAACGTCCTCTAACACCAGAGTTTTCGAGTTTTTTTTATAAGAATGTTATGTTTCAAGGTATCGAAGGCTTTACTGAAATCGATGAATGCAATTAATATATGTTTTTTCTCATCTAAACATTTGTTTACTTCGTCTGTAAATTTTGACAGTAACTGTGTAGTAGATTTCTTAGCCTGAAATCCGTATTGAGATGCCGAAATAATTTTATGTTTTTGGTAAAAGTTGTGAAGCTGGTTGGAAATGAATTTTTCTATAATTTTGTCAATTGTTGGAAGTATAGTAATAGGCCTGTAATTACTGTAATCGTCATGACGTCCACTTTTGTAAATAGGCCGTACCAAACCTAGCTTTAGATCTGTAGGATAAATACCTGTTTCTATACTACTATTAATTAACTTGACAATTACTTTAGCAATTTTTTCTGATATGGCTTTTATGTCAATTGTACGAATTCCATCAGCACCTGGTGCCTTTTTTGTGTTAAGTGTTTTTATTATATTTTTTATTTGATTTGTGTTAGCTTTTTGAAAGCGTATAGACTTATCTACTGGATTTGTGTACAAATCATCTGATAGCATTTTAATGGTACATTTTGGTATTATATTTTTTAAGTTTCTATCGAACTCAGTAGCAAAATTATCAGCAATCGTTTTACTATTTTGACTTTTGAAGTTAAATGCTTTATTTAACGATTCATCTAGTGTTTCGGTAACTTTGCCACAAAGTTTGTTTACAATTTTCCAAGTATATCTTGGATTAGACATATTGTTATTGATTTTTTTGATAATAGTAATTATTTCTAGTTTTTTCAATAAATTTAATTGTTTTATTTCTATATTTATTATATTCTAGTCTTAGAAGTTTATTATTTGAGTCATTTTTCCATTTAGTAAACAAATTATCTCTAATTTTACACATATTTATGATGTCTTCATTTATCCAATTCTCTTTATTTCGTTTACTACCTTGTTTTGTTTTTTTATTAATTGACATTCACTATAGCATTTCATAAAATTAGTTTTTATAAAATTGTTTATATTAGTAGGACATTGCATATTATTAACCGGTGACCAGTCTATTTCATTCAGCATTCTATGAAGTTTTTTGTTGTCATATAAAATAATGTTTTCAAATTCATCCCGTGTGTACGAAGCATGTAAAATGCATGTTAGCACGGTCATGCGATGATCGGCTAATACAGTACCAATAGCGCCCGAGTACAGGTCTAACGTACGCGATCGCACAAAGATATGATCTATACAACTTTTAGTTAATTTGTCTTTTCTTTTTTCTATTCTAGTGTAATCTGTTATCGCACACGTTAGACCGCACTCGGCTATTTTACTAAGATAATATTCTTGAATAGGTGTAATATCTTTAATGTTGATATTCATATCACCCAATATGATTAAGTTATGTTTTTTAGCGAAATTATCTTTTAATGTGTGACACAACTCCTCAATAAACAAGTGTTTGTTTTCATTCGGTGGTCTGTATATTATACAAAGATGGAATGTTTGCAAATTATTTTGGGTCGTGATTTTGCTTATGAGTGATTCAAAGTGTAAAGTTTTGATATTTATAATTTCAAACTTATGGTTCTTACTACATAAATAATTATCCCACCCCCCTTTCTCTTAGTTCTTAAGATACTATTCATTGTATAGCCATCGATATGAAATATAGATAGTAAGTTATTAGATATGTTGGCTTCTGTTATGGCAATGCAGTCTAAATTAATTTTACTAGAATTTATACATTCCTTTAGCATTGCAAAGTTTTTTATGATAGATCTTAGGTTTATATGAATAAAAGTGAAACTTTGTTTACCTTTAGGTATAAGTTTGTAGAAATCATTTAAATTAATACAGTCGTTTATTTCTGAGACGTTCGTGAGAGAATCCATTATGTTTGTTGTAATTATAACTTATAAGAATAATTATGCTGAGTTTTACCCTTAACTAACTATTTCCGTTTCTTCTGTATTTAGGGACTGAATAGTGATTTTTTTGCAAGTATTTGGATGTCTTCGATGCACCTAATGGTTGTGATCTTGTCTTTGTCTCCTTTTCGCGCGAAAATGTGTCCATTTTTAAACCATATGTACTTGTATTCGGAACCTAATTGTTTTTTTGCATTCCACAAGATTATCTTATTTGTCTTTGTGAGTGCGCGACTTAACGTAATTCTATCTTTACCCTCATTATATATCATTGGCGCATTCGGAAGAATATCATTAATTTTTAATATCTTCATTTTTGCGGCTTGGATCCATTTCTCACTCTCTGTTTCATCACTTAGTTCTAGTAGCAGATATCCATCCTTTCCTTTTCTTCCTTCTATCTGTTTTATGCTTTTAACTGAATTTGCATCCATATCTAATTTGGATGCTAATATTTTAGTTACTTGATGATGATTAATGTTATCTATACCCGATATACCAGTTAGTTCAATTTTGTTACTGTATTGTTTTTGTTCCAATTCTCCTATTTTTTGTTATAAAACATTTATTCTTATTTCCAAATTATTATTTTTGTTGTTTAATGCTATATTTTTAGTTTCTAATTCTATAATTCTACGTTTTTTTTGGAAATGAAAATGCTAATAATAATAAACAACATATCTATTAATTCTACGTAAAAATATTCTATCAATGTAACCTTAAACTTTCATAGTTATGTTACAAAATGACGTTGAAGTAAAAAAATTGATTAAAATCGCTACTGAAACTTTAAGAACTTTCAGAGAGGGTTTTTTATAGGATAGGCTGACAAACGAGCACACAGTTCACCTGGTGGTGATGGCTCTACCTCCCGAAAAGGGTATGGTCTTGATTTGAGTAAAATTGTAAACCATAAAAGTTTTGTTCGAAACTATTTTCATATTTCTTAAAATGTTTGAGATAATCATCAAAACCCATTCATTTTATGTTTTACGATTACACAAAATAAATCTTGCATAGTTTTCGGATAAAATATAGCCCAGATGGCGTTGCTCTCTATCCGTTCGTGAAATTTCATCACAACCGGTTTAGTTATCCGCGGATTAGCCCGAACAAACATACAGACAGACAAAATGTTTCAAGTTATTCATGTTTCAAAAATACACAAAAACCCCGTGAGCTTAACAGCAGCTAGTTTAGATTTTACATACAGACGCATAAATGTTAATTAATAGTATAGATTTATTCATACTATCCTATAATGACGACAGTCTACTACAAATCAATTATGAGTACCTACCTAGCTATTGGCAATAAATTTATTTTTATTGAAATAGTATTTCTGAACAAAAATGTTTCGTGTTTGCATTGTTATAATAGCTTATGAGTTTGTTTTGTGTAATACTAAAGTACAGATCTTTGTAAACACGGCCTCAAACAAGGAAGATGTTTTTGTACACTACTATGGTATAGATAGAAAAATAATAACCGATATGGAAGTGAAGTTGTTTAATAATATTAAAAAAGACGATAATTTAAGGAGAGGTTTGAAAATAGAACTTGGTAAGGTACCCGATAATATATTTATGAAAAATCCCTATAGTAATTTATATCGAAAATACAAATGGAAGGAAATCGAAAGAAGCTTACAGGTAAAAAAAGCAGAAGTAGTTGATGTAATAAATGTAAATACTATCATAAAAATACATGAACATATAAACAACACATCAAACACAATTCGATCAAAAGTTTCGATATTTGAAACAATAGAAAACACAATATCTTCATTTTGGCAACAAGGTTTGCCCGAAGATGAAATTTTCTTTGATATCGATTATAACTTTAACGGACGAGCAGTATCGTACCATAATCGATGGAGAAAGGATTATTTACAAAACGCATCTCAATCATTTGGCGTTTCAAAGGATGGTTTTATAAATATTCAGTCAGGGCAACGAGTAACGACGAGATTAAAGGGAACCAAAACAATCCTGCTTATCAAAATCAATTACGTTGCGGGTTTAGTTGGTAACTTGGTAGTAAACTACGCTCATGTCTACGGTAAATACCATTTTTGTGCCCCAAATGTCAATGATATAATGAAAGCAGCCGGCATCATTAAGAAGTGCGATGCTACAGCGATCCAGTTCTAGAGATATTCGATAGTTTAACAGAAAAACCAATGCATATAGTCACACTACCAACGCCATTCCATGTAAAACCTAAATCGAGATATTCTAATAAAGTAAAAAAGGCTCACGCAAAATAATCAAGTGAAAACTATTGTCATAAGTTAACAAAAAAAGTTTTGTTAATACAGTGAAACCCACATAATTTTTCCTTTAGACATGTGTAAATCATTCATTTCTATTGACCGACTCACTCCAGTACATTTTTTCGCGCGTATCCATTTGAATGATCGATCGTATATTCCGATCGATCATTCAAATGGATCATTTCAGGCTCCAGTACTCTGTGAGATCCATTGGGAACCGGAAATTTTCTATTTGAGATTAATAATAGCGCCATCTACTACATGCTATAGGTAATAAAGTCATTTTATCGAACTAAAACTTATTGACCTTCAAGGTGGTAAGTATAATCGACGCTAGATGACATAAACACAAAAACCTTAAGTGATTCAATTGATTTGATTTGACTTTGATTGGTAACTTTATTCAATCTATATTATTTTAAATATTTAATAAATTTGTTTATTTTTAAATTTCATTCCTAACAATACACAATTTAATCTTACTTTACATGTCTGAAAATAGGGATTGTAACATTTATTTGCAAGAAAATTAAACTTTTACCTATTTTATACTTATATAAGGTGGTTGGAAATTATCATATTAAATAAATCTTTTGCCATAAAATCTTTTGAAGTTTTATATTTAGTAAACTCTACGAAATGATATTTTTAACTCATAAACTTAACAAATAAATATAATAAAACGTAAAATAATTTTTAATTTAGGTACTTAACAATATTATAATAAAAAATCCTTAAATAATAAATACTCCTGATACGGTACAGTCTGCATTGTTTATTCGATTGGCCGGTTTATTCAGATCATTCGGGATTCGGTCGGTTTTTGGCTCATACACAATTCACACAAATCGCGGGATAAAAAGGTACCGTCAATTGCTTGTGATTGGTTATACTGGTACATTCAAAATCAAATGAATGAACCATCAATACTTTTAAGAGGCGAGAGTAAGTCAGCTCAAATTCTAATTTCGCCCCCACTTCCCCGCGCGTCGTATGCTATGTACCGACATGTTTGTAATCACTAATACTCTAAGTAGATAGGTCGTTAGATACTTATTTCATTATGTTTATCATATATATGCCTGTTTCTTAACGCCAACCCAGTCGCTTCTTATTTTTATAACGGTTATTTCCCATTTTAATTTTACGTCTTCCTGTTGCGTAATGTGTTTTCTGATCGTAAGCGACACAACTTCTCCCTTCAAAAGCCGGAGCAATACTAACGGAGCGACAGGAACCAAGCTTACGCGCCGATAGTTTAGGTAATTTCTTTTTTACAGTGAAAATAACGATATTTTAAAAAAAGTAAATAACATAAGCACTGCTTTATGGTTAGTTCAGTTAGTATGCAAAGTTTCATGATCTTATTTAAAGTATTTTATATATAACAGCGGTTTATTGTTCAGTTTGGAGGTAACTTTGGATTTTTTTTCTATCGAGAAAATTTTACGGAATCGTGTTTTCGTCTAACATAAACCTTAACATTAATCCTCAACTTTACCATATATTTATTTCAAAATTAATGCTGCAATACTTTCGGCATAACGGAGGATCTTGCTAAGCCATTTGAGGTTATATTTCCCCTTAAGTGTACCAGCTCAAACGAACGAATCATGCGTGATTGGCACATGTCTATTTTTGTTTGGAGAATGGGCCCAGCACAAATTTTAAGGATTTTTAATGAAATGCATGTTGATTAGGTCTATAGATTACAATAGTGTTATTAGTTTTGCTGCATCTAAACGGAGTCCTGAGAAATTAACAATTAAATTATGAATCTAACAACATCCTAAAAACAAACTGAAAGCGATTTTCTAGTAGTTTTCACCGGTATTATAAGTTAAAATAGAACACTGTTGAATAATTATAGTACATATAAAACTAAGTTGTAGGTATATTCAGCATTTATAGGTACTTTAAGATCGATCGAAATTCTTTTCACTATTTCCGTCAAAATATAGTGCCTGTCTGTGCATAAATGTCGTATGGATTCTACTTTTGACACGTTTTGATTGATTGTGAGTGTAAATCCCAAATACCATTAAAATATTATGATTAAAGCCAAGATGACTAAGGGATAGTATGTCCATTTATATTATTTATAATATTACCAACACACGGTAAGAAATATGTTTTAAAGTTATGGTTGTATTACAAAAAACAAAATTTAATGGAAGTCTATTTATTACTGTAACTCATAATTTCTAAAGTATTCTATTAATAGTGGTACAGAAAGAGAAACTTTTAATTCAATATAGATAATAAATAATTATAAATAAATAATTCAATATAGATTATAATAATTTTTTAATTTACCACTGGTACGGAAAAACCAGTCTTGGGGAGAACCAGCAAGAAACTCGGGGGAATTTTTTTTTAAAATAATACCTTACAATCATGTATGTTACAATTAATAACACATAACAAATTAGAAATAGCTGGGTAGCGATCACTTTACCCAGGGGTATTATCATCCATAAATTCCTTAACTTTGATGATTGATTGAGATGGACAGACAGGAGCAGTGTCAAGACTTTGTTTTAATAAGTTTTGGTTGATTACTAAGTATCTCTAAACATATCATATATCGTAATAAAATAACTGGGTAAAAACATGCTTATCTACGTAACCTTCTCAGAAATGAGAGGAGGCCCAGCTGTGGGACGTATACAGGCTGTAACTTTAAAGAATATTTGAAAATGTTGTGATTATAATAATATATTTTATTATAGAACCAATTACGAGTAAAACACATTTCTAATTTATTTATTTTTTATTCCATTATTTCATATTGCCAGTTTTAAATAATATAAAAATTAAATTTTACAATAGTGTGTCGTCTTTTCTATAGGATTATGGAGTTGTGTCAATAAGACCCGTCACCTGCGCGACTAGATGCAGTGTCGGCTGGTATTACAGAGATCCTTGGCTTGAATCCATCTTCATCAGCCTCGTACTCTACCACCTGGAAACAGAATACATGCCATGAAAATGTTAATTTTATCACGTTTTCATCATGTCACTTTCTAGTTTTTCTGCCGTTCCGGATAGAATCTTGCAATTCAAATTTCGAACACTTCCCGATGGGCTAGGGACTTGAAATTTTGATCATAGCTCAAATCAGAAATTGTAGGTGAAAAACGTGGTATATTAATTTCTTAGGACAAAGTTTAAAAAAATATACTTGTTTGTACACTTTCGTTTGTTGAAAAATTATAGCAACTAGCTACTGTAGTCCAAGGATAAAAAGTAAGAGATCGAAAACAGGAACAGAAACTTTTTTTATTCAATATAGATTATAAATAATACTTATTGAAAGTCACTTTTTTTAATTTACCACTGATTCGAAAAAAAAAACCTCTATCCTGGGAAGAATCAGCAAGAAACCCAGCGGGATTTTTTTCAATAACAGCTTACAATCATGTATGTTACAATTAACACACAATAAATTAGAATCAGCTTGGTAGCGATAACCCTACCCAGGGGTACAGTATAATAACAGGCCATGAGGTATTCGATCTTAGTCCTCATTGAGGCCAATTCTTTATTTATGTTGGTTGCAGGTGAGCAACTGATTCCTGCAACGTTCCATCAGGTGGACTGTAAGTTTGTTTTTCAATTAAATTTTTTATAGAAGAATGGTGACAAACGAGCACACGTTCCACCTGATGCCAAGTGGGTGCTATAGCCCATAGACATACATCTGTATCCGATGATGAATCATAATGCAGATGCATTGTCACTCCTAATAACTAAGATGGAATGTCTTGTTCCCAGTAAAGAAAGAATTAACATTCACAACCTCTTACAATGCCGACTGTCTTACTATAAAGTTACAGCCTACATACGTCCTACGTAGTGGGTCGTATATAGGCTGTAAGAGAAATGAGAGAACTCTACATGTCTTCGAAATATTTTTTTTGTTTCTCAGACATGCAGGTTTCCTCACGATGTTTTCCTTCACCGTGGAGCACGTGGTAAATCAACGCTTAAAATTGCTCGCGTACTGTGAAAAGTTATATATTGTATTTCAGTGTGTCTTACTACACTAAAATAAAATAGTATTCGCATTTGTGTTTGCAGAAATAGATAGGTGGAATTTACTCGGGTTCCAAAGCAGTAGAGCTGATAAAGATGACTTCAACGTACCTGTTTGGTTCCATCAAGAAGTACGACAAAGTACGTCCCTTCTGCTTTATCGTCCTGCCGGTTTTCCACGTGGCCAAAGTCACTTCCGCTCTCGTAGTCGCTCACTTTGTAGGAGAACTTGTAGTTCGCTGGTTCCTGTGTATTTTGATTAGTAAGTTTGAGTAATAGAACGTGTAGTAGCGTGTAAGAACATCCAGTACGACATATCGTCCCGTGGGCGTCGCAAGAGGTGACACACAGAAATACAAAGGCAACAGCGTCTTCCTAATAACGACTAGAAAATAAAATAAACTGCGGTTACCAACCTGCCCACCAAGCGTGGCAACTGTGGCAAATATCCCCCTTTATCAGGTAACCTATGGAGTGACTCGCCCCCCCCCCCCGGGTATGTTCAGCAGTGGTCTTCGATAATTATTATTGAATGAATAATTAATGGCATTGATACATTTAGTAGTATTTATTTATTTATTTATTTGCCATTACGTTACATTACGTAATATTGGTACGTCAAAATTACAATTACAATTATATAGATACAATAATATAGTTAAAATTACAAATTATACAATTACAATAATATAATTAAGATACATCTCATTTACAGTACATTATTTTATGTGTCAAACAAGTCAAAAAATGAACATTGCATATATTCTTCTATGTTGTAAAAAGCGTGATTTAAAAAGAATGTTTTTATCACTTGTCGGAACGCATTTAGCGGAAGTCTTGTTATTTCTATTGGCAATTTATTGTACATTTTAATTTTTATTGCAAGACCTTGCTTGAACACTTTGACTAATCTGGTTCTTGGATTATCAATTCTCCTAAGTTGCGTGTTTGTACAAAATGCAGCGCTAGTCGTTATTTCTGACGTTTTTAGGAGGTATCTACTTCTTATTAAAATGATATATCAACTAATAAAAAAACCTATTACATTTCTACACAATCTTGATTCCATAATAGCCAATTCCAGCTTTTTTTTTTAAAGGAGTAAACACTTGATGAATCTTCCTACAACTAAACCACAGAAATGCGAATTAATTATTAATAATAAAAAATTATTATATAAAAATTATTGATGACATACATCTCCTCATAAAGTAAACATTATTATGAGTCTCATAAGCGAAGCGTTGAGGTTGTGCTCTACTCTAATGGTGTTATGTAAAGTCGCTTAATACGTAAGTAACATCATATATTTTATTAACTGCATAAAATATCATAAATCTAAATAAGGTTATAGATATTCATAATAATAACAATTTACATTTTAGACACACAAATAACAAGGTATAACAATAATTATCATTACTACTCACAATTTATCTTCCGTGTACGTATTCTCTACTCAACAGTTTTAGTAAGACTGCCGCCCGTAACTGCCGCTTATCGCTGCCGCTCAAACCTTTTTTTTTTTTTGCGCCCGAAGCAATTAAAGGGCTACCCTATACGTAGGGAGGCGGAAAATGCATTACGCATACCACGATAGCCGGTCTATCGTGGTTATGAGGGGCTCACTGTCCTACCGGGGACCCTAAGTGATACCCTCTAAAAACCGCCTTTGGGGACAGGCAACCGGCTGATTAAGCTCTATTGTGCCTTATCATGAGCGACCCTCTTTTGGGAAAAGAGGGCGCAGGCGGCTAAGTGCCGCTGAGGGAGTGCCTACGAAGGCAAATTAATGTTAGTTATTACAATAATTTTATTTAATTAGAGTTGGTCTGAGCCGCCAGGAGACAGTTCAGGTCGTTTGAAAGTTTATTAGGCAGGTCCGAGAGAGAGTTTCTCGGCCTGCGGACACGATAGCGAGAGGGGAGTGAAGCTGCCTCACGAATTAAATGGTTTGGGTGCGACTCTGAGGCTTTGAAGAAGTTCTCAGAGAGTTTTTTAAAAAATTGTTGAATTGTTGGGAGCTCTAAGTCCCGATGAAGGTCGGCATTACGGACGTACCAAGGTGCGTTCGCAGCTCGACGACAGAAGAGGTTCTGAACTATTTGGAGTTCATTTAAAATATTAGGGTTTGCGTGGGCAAAGACGGGGCCCGCGTAGGAACTGCCGCTCAAACCGACGACATCTGTCTTTTATAGGCTTGTAATTTAACAGTGCTAAACTACAGATGGCGTTGCTTGTGTGGTTTCCGTTACAAGTTTTTATAAAATTGGATATTAAGCCGTAAGTTTTTACATTATAAAACATTATTTATATTTCTTATAATTATCTTAAACAGTTTTACATTCTAGTTATAAATATAACTAGACATAATCTAATACATTAATGTACCCGCAGACTTTATAGGATGAAAATAATTAATTACCCACCATGTTAGTTTCAACAATATAAATTATTAAAATACGCTAACAATGGAAATCCAGTAATTTACTGAGCTAAAAATGTCTTCATTTTTTAACTACCGCACTTTAAGAATAATAAAAATACACAAATATCGAGAAAAATCACTCGTTTTCATGTTTCTATTATTTTTAAAAGTAATTTTTTTGTATTTAGTGTAAAAACAAACTGATTGAAAAAAAATTATCGAGGATATCCGGAAGTCTGTATTAATCGTAGTCGTTAGAATTAATGTATCAAAATAATTCTTTTTTTTATTAGGTTTAGAATCTCAACGCACAGGTTCCTTTAAAAAATCACTGAGTAATTTGTTCTCGTTTAATTGTAATTAATGAAAATGTAAATAACAACTGGTACTTTTCTACAAAAAAAATATTCTCATGGATCTCTTCGTTCGTCTCAAATATAGAAAAAGAGATATTTTTCTTTTATATAATCAAATGAAATTATAAGGCGTGCCCTTTTGGATTTTCCAAACTTTTTTATTTTACAATTGCCACTATTGGATAGGCAATTTATTAATGAACATTTTGATATGTTTAATTTTTTCAAAAGATAAATATTCGATTTTATAAAGAAAATATTTTAAAATTTGGGCGAATTTCTTACGCGACATATTATTGTAGAGAGAGCGCGTGGAATGTATAGAACCGAATGCTACAGGTCGTTCGCTAGGAGTAGCGCCTTAATTGGCCTCCCCTTTAGATTGTCTTGTAGGATTTTGCTATAGTTACCACGCTGGCTAGGCGGGATAGCGAAAGAATAATGCTGCTGTCTATATCCCGTTTCAGTTTCCCTCTATCCCCACTTACGACACCTACGCTAGTACAAAGTTAGCGCGTTTTTTTGTGAACCAATAGTTTGGTGAAAAAAGAGTGCGAGAGAAATATTTTAAATGTAATGATGTACGGAGAAAACTGTAATTATTTCTTTTTATTAACCATTTTAGTTTCAACTTCAATTTTCTATTCAACTCCGATGCGGATAATATGGAAATAATGTGAGTTTCTTTCGCTTGAAAATCTAAACCTCCAAATCAATAGCTGGGGTAAGAGGCTCACTACTCACGGTGAAAGAGGAACATATGTTTCTTTTACACTATGTCAGGGGTAACACACATTTTGAATAATTTATAATTATAGGTAGATTAAATGAAAAGAATTGACTGACTGTTTTGTACCTATTACAATTTTAAATTATAACTAAACTAGAACTTTCCCGCAAATTCGTCCACGTGTAACTTAACTATTTTTGTGTTAAATATTTTTTTTAATCGAAATAGTGTAGTGTTTGAGTTATCTTAACCGTAAAAAACAAATAAAAAATCAAATGTTTTCTATTTATTAAATTAGTTTAAATAAATAAAGTTTTTTATATACGTCCCTTTCTTCTTAATATTTTGTTATACTATAGCACTTTTGACTGTTTCAGGAATGATATACATATATGATAAAACATGCCGCGAAAATATATAAGAAAATCTGATAGAAGCAGATATGATAATGATAAATTAAGTGAGGCTGTCAATGCGGTAAAAAACGGAACAATATCTGCATACGCCGCATCAAAACTTTATAATAATAATATCGAATTTCGGCCACGGCGGCCTGCCTCAACGGAGGCTAGCCATCGGCGCAGGACAGGATTATAGTGCCCAAGTGTATGCACAAGCACAGGTGCACTCTCTATTCCCTCTCTCGTATTCCGATGGGAAGATAAACCGATACGACCGGAAGAAAGATCAGTCGCAGTACCAACGGCTTTACGTGCTTTCCGAGGCATGGGGGTGAGAAACCGCCAACTTCCTGACTCCGGGCAGCTACTAATTTCTTGACAGAAAAACTCAATAATTGATTTTTTGGTCCAGGACCTCATGATGAGCAGTTGCACTACTACAACCACTAGGCCAACGAGGTAGTCAACTTTATAATATACCAAGAACAACAATTGTTAACCGTGTATACGGTTTTAAATCCAAAGTGCCATTGTTATTTTTTAAGAGTAATTAACTAGGGAAATCTAGTTGGGAGTTATATTACTGTTTGTATGATTAAATAAATATAGAAATATTACTGGTCGACTTCTTTTTAGTTTGCCACCCCTGATCGAACTTGTATGTCCCTCTTACCCCGAATTCATTTATTCTTCTTTTACATTACAAACGATACCTTATTTCATCGATTGTATGATCTAATTTTGACCGAAGCAGTTCTACTTACAAATTAACGAACATTTAGCAAATAACATTTTAATTCAAACTCCAATCTTAGGAAATACAATGACTGTCCCTCTTACCCCATGTGAGGGGAAAGTGGAACGTTTACTTAATCTTGACATTTACATCAATATAGTCGTAAGAACTGATAATAGCGTAATGAAATTTTGCACATGTGAAGCTAATGCATAAAGGCAAGTTTTGTTTGGTTCAAAGATCTTAAAAGACTTTAGCTGGTCTTCCTAGCAGTCAAAATATTTTACTGAAAATAAAGTGTGTTCCTCTACCCCACCTGACTTTATACAAAACCCTCATTAAATAAATATAAGCTTAGTTTCTTATAATTATTTTTTTAATTTGTTTTTGTGTTTATTTAATTCTTGCTATAGAAGAGCGGGGCATCCTTCCGCAAGTATATATTTACTTAAAAGGATGTCTCACTTACTCCCATACCTAAGTAACGTATGATATTTTTTAACAATTAAACAATTTTTAAATTTTCAATATCTTCATACAATATCGGATGGAAACATGTATGCACATATTTCATTACCTTAAGGGGAAATATAATGTCAAATGGCTTAGCAAGATCCTTCGTTATGCCGAAAATATTGCAGCATTAATTTTGAAATAAATATATGGTAAAGTTGAGGATTATAGTAAGTGATTATGTTAGACGAAAACACGATTTCGTAAAATTTTCTCGATAGAAAAAAAATCCAAAGTTACCTCAAAAGTAAACAATAAACCGCTGTTATTCATAAAATACTTTAAATAAGATCATGAAACTTTGCATACTAACTGAACTAACTATAAAGCAGTGCTTATGTTATTTACTTTTTTTAAAATACCATTATTTTCACTGTAAAAAGAAATTACCTAAACTATCGGCGTCTTGAGCTTGATTCCTGTCGTTCCGTTAGTATCGCTTAGGCTTTTGAAGGGAGAAGTTGTGTCGCTTACGATCAGAATATACATTACGCAACAGTACGACGTAAAATTAAAATGGGAAATAACCGTGATAAAAATAAGAAGCGGCTGGCTTGGCTTTAAGAAACAGGCATAAATATGATAAACCTAATGAAATAAGTGTCTAACGACCTTTCTACTTACAGTATTAGTGATTACAAATATTTCGGTACATAGCATACGACGCGCGGGGAAGTGGGGGCGAAATTAGAATTTGAGCTGACTTACTCTAACCTCTTAACTATGTTGAATACTTATATTACTTATATAGTAATTTTCACCGTTACCGTTACCGTTGAAGCCTATCAAAAGTCCACTGCTGAACATAATACTCCCCCATAGATTGCCTCGTATAGTAGTTGATAATCTTACAACAACATTACGTGGTATAGTAATGGGTTTTTCAACAAGAACTTTGTTTTTCAATTGGGGCAACACCAACAACATGACCGTTTTGACATTTAGTTTTTTTGACCTATTCGTAGTAGATGCTTTGGCAATTACTACGATGAATTCAATTTCGCTCGAAAATCGCATTAAAATAATTAAAATCCACTATGAAAATGGTGGTTCTGTTAAAGTTACGTTTCGTAAAATTCGTGATATTTTCGGACAACATAATCGTCCTTCTGAGACCGCTATTAAGAATTTGGTCGCTAAATTTGAATCGACAGGCTCGGTACAAAATGTGCCAACACCAACGCGTGTTCGACCGGGTCGTTCAACCGAAAACATCGCAGCCGTGAGCCACAGTGTTGAAGAAGATCCAAATTTGTCAATTCCTCGACGTTCTCAACAATTGGGGTTATCCAAAACCACCACATGGCGAATTTTGCGTAAGGATTTGGCTTTGAAGCCTTACAAGGTTCAACTGATGCAGGAATTGAAGCTGACCGACCATTCACATCGCCGTAGATTCGCTAAATTCATTCAGGAACAGCCCGCTGGTTTTTCTGAAAAAATCATTTTTTCAGACGAAGCCCATTTTCACTTGTCAGGGTACGTCAAAAAGCAAAATTGCCGCATTTGGGCTTCTGAAAATCCTAAAGCGATTATTGAGAAGCCTTTGCATGCTCAACGTGTCACTGTATGGTGCGCTATGTGTTCTGGAGGCGTGATTGGGCCGTTTTTTTTCGAAGTTGAGGCTGGAAATGCGGTAACGGTCAATGGATCACGCTATCGCGGGATGTTAACATCTCAATTTTGGCCTATTATTGATGACATCGATATCACAAACATGTGGTTTCAACAGGACGGTGCCACATGTCACACAGCCAACGAAACGATCAATTTATTGCAAACCGAATTTCCCTATCGCATAATTTCACAAAATTCAGCTGTTAAATGGCCAGCCAGATCGTGTGATTTAACACCACTGGATTATTTTTTGTGGGGCTATGTTAAGGACAGAGTCTATACGGAGCCAATCGAATCGATCGCGGCTTTAAAACTCAAAATCCGTGACGTGATTAACGAAATAGACCCGCCATTTTGCCAAAAAGTGATTAAAAACTTTGATGAAAAATCGACATCTGTCAGCGTGGTCGTGGTGGACATTTGCCAGATATCATTTTTCATTCATAATTGCCAAACTTTTCTCTTCGTATTACAATTAGAATTTGAATCATCTCCATCTAAACTCTTTGTTTTATTTTGTTTTAGAAAACAAAGTTCATGTTGAAAAACCGGCTAGGTTTTTGTTATATAGATGAAAATAAACGAGCACATGGCTCACCTGGTGGAAAGTGTCAACCGCCGCTCACAAACAACTTCAACACCAGGGGAACT